TCCAGTTCCTTTTTCTTTGAATGTTCATCCTGGGGAAAGTCAGCTGCTATGTAAGAAGTCCAACTACATTGTGATCTCCATGCTATGAGGGAGTCCAGGTCACATGGAGAAGCTTCATGGAGAGACAGAAAGATGCCCAACTATTCCCAGTTATTCCAGCTCCAGGAGCCCAGGAGTATCATACGTGTGAGTGAACAAAGCTTCTGGTGACTCTCGCTCCAACTGTCATATAACTACAACTACATGGACCCCAAATGAACACTGCTCGGCTGAGCCCAGGCAGCATTAGAACTGTGAGTATACAAAATGTGTGCGTGGGTATAACAAAAGACATATACTAAAATAGAAATAATATTTACAATAGCCCTGTATTAGTTTCTTAGGACTGCCACAATAAAGTACCACAAACTGGGTGGCTGGAAATGAGAGAAATCTATTCTCTCTCAGTTCTAGAGGCTAGAAATTCATAATCAGGGTGTTAGCAGGGCCAGGCTCACTCTCAGACCTCAGGCAGTAACCTTCCTTGCCTCTTCCTACCCTCTCTCTGGTGGTGGCCTTCAATCCTTGAAATCCCTTGGCTTGAAGCAATATCACTCCAATGTCGCCTCTGTTGTCGCATGGTGTTCTCTCTTTGTGTGTCTCTCTGTATCTGTGTCTAAATTTTCTTCTTCTTCTTTTTAAAATGATTTTATTTATTTATCTTTAGAGGGGAAGGGAAGGAGAAGGAGAGAAACATCAACGAATGGTTGTCTCTTGTGTGCCCCCTGCTAGGAACTGGCCTGCAACCTGGGCATGTGCTCTGACTGGGAATTGAACTGTGATCCTTTGGTTCACAGGCCCGTGCTCAATCCACTGAGCCACACCAGCCAGGGCAATTTTCTTCTTTTTTAAAAATAGATTTTATTTAATTATTTTTAGAGAGGGGAAGGGAGGGAGAAAGAGAAGAGAAACATTAATGTGTGGTTGCCTCTTGTGCACCCCCTACCAGGGATCTGGCCCAGAACCCAGGCATGTGCCCTTACTGGGAATCGAACTGACAACCTAGCACTCAATCCACTGCACCATACCAGCCAGCGTCATGCTTTCTTTTTTTAAGGACACCAGTCATATTGAATTAAGGGCTCACCCTAACAACCTCATCTTAACTTGATTACATTGCAAAGACCCTATCTCTAACTAAGATTACATTCATATTACCAGTGGTTAGTATTTCAGCGTGTCATTTTTGGGAAACATGATTCAATTCATAACAGGCCCAACTGAAAAGCACCCCAATTACCATCAACAGTGGGATGGAATATTTTACATGATGAAATACCACAGACTAATTCAAATAAACATACAATAGGGACTAATCTCAAAGCATGATATTGATGAACATACTAGAGTTCATAGTGTACTCATAATAGAGTTCCTAGAGTTCACAGGTTTTTACAGAAACTTTGAAAACCAGGGGAAAGGTCCTGATTTCTTTGACTTGGTCTGAGTAATCCTATAGCATGTTCACTTTGCAGAGCCATCAATCTGTACTCTATGTTGAATGTCAATACATTTTTTTTCCTTTTGCAGTCCCTGTACTTGTGGAGTTGACCCTGAAGGAGAGATAGTTAATGGTCAAAGTAAATAGGAATAAATTATAGAGGATTAGCAGGAGCTATGCGCTGTTGACAGAGATAAAGCAGGGAATGAATCAGTGGTGATTAGAATCCGGATGAGACAATCCAGCAATCTCATTCCTGAATAGTTATCTGAAAGTATTAAAATCTCGATCTGGAAGAAATAGCCTCATTTCCACGTTCATTGTAGCAGTATTCACAATAGCCAAGTTATGGAAACAATGCAGTTATCCACTGGAAAAAGAAAATGTGGTATATATACACAAGAGAATATTTTTCAGACTTAAAAAAAGGAAATCCTGCTCTATGTGATAAGAGAGGACATTATATTAAGTGAAATAAGCCAGTCATAGAAGGACAAATACTGAATGATTCCAGTTATATAAGGTATCAAATTAATTAAACTCACAGAATCAGAGAATAGAATGGTGGTGAAGGGGAGATGGGGAAGCGTTGTTCAGTGGGTCTAAGGTATAGTTATACAAAATGAAGTTTCGGAGATCTGCCATACAACCTAGGGTCTATAGATAACAATACGATGTTGTGTACTTAAAAGCTTGTTGAAAAGATAGAACTCGTGAAGGTAGATCTCATGTTACGTTTTCTTACCCATCTCCACGCCCCCCAAAAAACAACAAAGGGACACAAGGAATCTTTTGGAGCCAATGGATATTTTTATTGCCTTAATTGTGAGGACAGTATAAAAGGGGTATACATATGTCCAAACTGAGCAAAATGTATACATTAAATATGTGTTTTTAAAAATATATTAAGTGTATCTCAATAAAGCTGCTAAAAAACCATACAACAAAGTGGTCAGCGAGAGGCGATTGAGCACCTGACAGTGGTTTAATTCAGTAAATTTCATTTAATTTTTCACAACAAGTTTATGAGAGAGTGAGGGATTGTTACATATTAAAATAAGGTAGGCAAATGTGGACAAAGATGCTAAATTAAACAACCACAAATGGTTAGGACAATTTGCTGCTCAGGAAACACATTTATATTGTCCTATGAATCAGGATTGATGATAGAGCTGGCCAGATACTGGCAGACAGATGGATGGACAGACAGCCTTCAAGGATAAAAGCAGAGATGGTGACTTGGCTTCCTACAACCTTGCTAGTCTTTGTCAGGGTTCAGAAGACAATGTGTTTGTTGTCATCAGAGCTTGAAAGGAAAGTCAAGTAATTTGCTTTATCTTGCTCAAGGTTTTAAAAATTGCTCAAGGTTTTCTTTTTTTTTAAGAAGAAACAAGTAATTTTGGGGAAGGGTAGGGAGTACCTTATCTAATTGAGAGACTGTACTATTTATCCTATTTCATAATTATAGTATAATATTATTGTCTATATACATTATACTATGCATTAGCTCTCTTTGCATTGGCTTATTTACTACTAGTTACAAATTTGTACCCTTGAACATCATCACTTTTATTAATATTTCCCTTACCCCCTGGTTACTGCTAGCTATTTCACTCTGTTTTTATAGATCTAACTTTTTTAGATTCTACATATAAGTAATACCATACAGTTCTGCCTTTTCCTGTCTGACTTACCTTAGTATGTGTTCAGGGTCCATCCATGTTGTCATGAATGGAAGGAAATGCCACAGTCTCAAGGCTGGATAATACCCCATTGTCTATGTACCATATTTAAAAAAATGTACTCATACACTGACAGACATTTGTAGATTCCATATATTGGCTATTGTGAATAATGCTGTGACAAACAGAGGAATGCATATATCTCATTGAAATCCTGTTTTCATTTCTTTTCAGTGTATACCCAGAATCAGAATTGTTGGATTATATGGCAGACCTATTTATAAGTTTTGAGGAAACTTCATATTGTTTTCTACCATTTTACTTTGATCCATAGAGAAGAAAGAATATTAACAGAAAAATACATTACACAATACAAAAGTAATTAAAATGAATTTGAAACTAATAGCAGTTGAAAAATCATTCCCATACAATTTATATATATATAAATCCCACCTCTACAAGTAGGCCAAAAAGAAAGTCCCTCTAGTTCTTAAAATTTAGGCACCCGATAATCACTTGGAGGGCTTGTTAACATATGCTGTTGAGTACCAAACCCAAAGTTTTTGATTTAGTTAAGTATGAAGTGAGACCTAATAATTTAAATTTCTAGTAGGAGCCCAAGTGATACTAAGCTCCGTTCTGGGGACAATACTCGGAGAACTACGGCTTTATTCCTTTAAATCTGTTTCTTAAAGGCAGGTTTAAAGGTGGTTTTATGGTAAAGGATTCTTGTTCATAGTTACTAGGAAACAATAAAGGGATTACATTATTACTGGGTCTTGGTTTTAGGTGATAGATTATAAAAGGCCATCCACACTTTCATTCTCCCTAGGGCAAGGCTCCCCGCCCCCGCGCGCCAAACACACCTCCCAGATGCAATCCAGGAAGAACCCTTTTCCCCTACTGTATAAGGGGCCTGCAAGGTTTTAATGAAATTAAGCTTTTAGGTGGCAGCTCAATAACTGGTGGCTACTTTAATCTTGTTTCCTATCACTTTGCTAGTCGGTCAACCACTAGGATCAGATGCTGTCACATCTTCTGGCTCACCCAAGGAGCTGGGCGGGACGATATGATAATAGCGCCTGCACAGTTCAGAACAAGGCTTTCAAGCAGAGTCCCCTCCGCACCTCTTTGGCCAAGTAAAAGGCTCTGGAGCAGAGGGCGGAGTCAGCGCTGCGCATGAACTTAGGCTTCCGGCCACGTGGTAACACTCAATGCTAATAGTAGGGCAGGACGTCACCCTGCTTCCTCACCCTGGCAACGGGCCGGTGACTACTTCCGGTGCTGTAAGGGCTCGGGGCTGACGCGGGTGAGTGTCCTTGTTTCTCACGCTCTCCGCGCCGCAGCCGCGTCGCTTCCTCTGTTTGGGCGCCCTGCGGTCTTTGGGACTTACTGACCAGGGCCGGGAGGGGGCGGTGCGCAGGATGTCCCTTCCCTGGGGCGGTGGCGAAAGAGCGGATCCCGGACGTCCCTCGTTCCGTCCTCCGCGCGTGGGGCCCTCCCCGGCCGCCTTCCCAGTCTTGGCTCCAGTTTGGCGACCACATTCCCTCGGCAGGAAAGGGACTGTTTGTGTGTTGGGGGAGTCCTCGCTGTCCTTCACCCACTTTGCAGTCTTCGGCTGCGGGTTTCTCCAAGTTTGAGGCTCGCAGAGACCGGAGGGTGTACGCCCTAGTCCTGCGTGTGGCGGGTTGGGGCCAAAGAGCCCCACGCGTAATAAAGGCCTGGTTAGAATGCCGCAGGACTTTAGCATTTACTCCCCACGCGGAGGAAGAGGAGGAGGAAAGGACCGAGAAGGAGCAGCAGTTGTCGTGGAGGTTGGGAAACCGAAGCCGGAGGTGCCCTGGAAATAGAGGGCATCCTGTTTCCGGAAGGAGGGAATTCAGTTTGGCCTCTGTAGGGGAGGGGAATAAAAGGTATTTTGGGGACCATGTGACTGAAATCGTTGACTATTAAGATAAGGAATATATACACTCAGGAGTTTAATAACTTCGTTTTCAGTTTGTTTTAAATAAAGCTTCCCCCACACCCCACTTCTAAGAAGCGGTGCATGCTTATTAAAGAATATCTGGGAAATGCAGAAGTATTTTAAGAGACCAACTATAGTTCCAGTAACCTGGTTTTTTCATCTTTTGTTTTTTTGAAAAAACCGTTTTATTTATTTAGTTTTAGAGGGGAAAGGGAGAAAGAGAGGGAGAGAAACATCAGTGTATGAGAGAAACATCAATTGTTGCCTCTCCCAGGCCTGCAGTGGGATCTGTCATGCAAACCAGGCATGTGCCCTGACTGGGAATCCAACCCACAGCCTTTTGGCCTGTAGGCCAGCTCAATACACTGAGCCTCACCAGCCCTGGATTTGATATTTTGTAATTTTTCATAGTCTATTCTTATTCTACTTATGGGCATAGTGTATGTGTATAAGATATAATTAAAGTTCATACATATCCACGGATTCTGTATGCAGATTCAACAACCACAGATTGAAAATCTTTGAAAAAAATAGTACATTGTAAGGGACTTGAGCGTCCTTGGTTTTTGCTATTGGAGAAGGTCCTGGAATCAATCTTCTAAATTAATTCCTAGGGAGGACTGTTAACTAAAAATTAGCATAGTTTTTGTACATTGCACTCATTATGTGGCTAGGTTTCTTTTTTCTTTCCCGAGATACAGTTTACATACAATAAAATCCATTATTTTAAATTGTGGAATTGTTTTGTTTTTAGTATATTCACAAAGTTCACACTTCACTATGTAATTACAGAACTTTTTTTATCACCTTCAAAAGAAACTTTGTATCCATTATAGTCATTCCCCATTAAATCCCCTGTGCTCTTGCTTCTTCAGTCCCTGGGAAACACTAATCTTTTTTTTGTGTGGAATCTATTATGTGGAACCACATAATATGTGCCCTTTTGTGTCTGGCTTCTTTCACTTAGCTTAATGTTTCCAAGGTTAATTCATGTTGTGTTATGTAGTATCACTCCATTCCTTTTTATGGCTCAGTATTATCCCATTATATGGATATGCCACATTTTGGTAATAGACATCTGAGTTTCCACTTTTGTCTATTATTAATAATAATTTTGCCATAAACATCCATGAACAAGCTTTTATGTGGACATATGTTTTCAGTTCAGTGGGGTGTATACCTAGGAGTGGAATTTTTGGGTCATGTAGTAACTCTTAACTTTTTGAAGAACTGCCGAATGTTTTCAAAAGTGACCTGAACCAGCAGGCTAAGAGGATTCAGATTTCTCTATATTCTTGTTAATACTTGTCTTTTTGATTATTGCTGTACTGTTGGTTGTGAAATGGTATGTCATTGTTTTTTTGACTTGCATTTTCCTGATGGCTGATAATGTTGAGCATCTTTTTCTGTGGTTACTGGCCTTTTGCATTTTTGGAGAAATGCCCATTTAATTCCTTTGCCCATTTTTAAATTTAATTTTTAAAATTTTATTTTAAAGTTGTGAGGTCTTTACATAGTCCAGATAACTTCCTTATTAGATATATGATTTGCAATATTTTTTTCCTTTTTCTCCATTTTGTGGAGTTTGTTTTCTCTTTCTTGAATGGTGTCCTTGAAATGTTACTAGAGAAACCCTGGTTCTTCTTACCAACAGAGTAAAGAATTGCATATCAGTGAGCTTAGTGTGCACACAAAGTTTATTAGTGCTAAATTCTAATGGGAGAGCAAAAGCAAGGGTGGCAAGAGCAGGGGTGGCAAAAACAGGGTGGGCAGAAGTCAGGTGGCCAGAGGCCCTCCCTGGCACTGCCCTGTGGGCAGAGAGCCACTAGTCGAGAGAAGAGAGCAAGGTGGGGGTGAAGATGTTACACACGGACAGGTAAGAGTAGTGCCAGGTTTACCCATGCCCCCCCCCCCCCCAGTCGTGACTACCAAAACATAGGTATAGGTGGGGGTCTGTTACTCCCCGAATTCTTATCTTGCTCCAGCCTCTACTTGTCCATTCTACATGTGTGACGGGGCAGGCAGTTAACCAAAGTTGTTTCATGGGCATTTTCTCTGAGCACTGTAGACCCCTCTCCTTCCAGGCCTCGGAATAAATACACAGTCTCAAGGTTTTCCTTTTCCAAACTAGTGGAGATGATACACACGCACTTCCAAGGGCTTCCACCCTGCACCATCTTGTTTGGAATGCTTGGTAGTCTTACTGGATCATGGGTGAGGTGCATCTTCCTTCGATTTTAGCCTCTTGTATTAAATTCTTTATTTGGTTGCCATGGCAAGGCCCCTGCCTTTATTTCCCTTCTGGCCGCTTATTCCTGGCTGCTACAACGTAAGTGTTAAAGGTGTTGCCTGGCAACCAGGATGCCAGCACTGGCCAGCAATAGCAGCACAGTCTCAAGAGTTCTTTATGTACTATCTCCAACAGAACTACTGGTCCAAGATGAAATAAGTACAAAATAGTATGTTTTGGCCTTGTCAGATGTGGCTCAGTTGGTTAAAGTGTGGTCCCGTAAGCCTAAAGATCACAGGTTCCATTCCAGTCAGGGTTCATACTTAGTTAGGTTGTGGCTTTGGTGCTTGTTGGGATGCATACAAGGGGCAACCAGTTGATGTTTCTCTCTTGCATACACATCTCACTCCCCATCTGTCTTACTCCCTTTCCCTCTCTAAAACCAATAAGCATGTCTTCTGGTGAGGATTAAAAAACCCCAAAACCTCCCTGACTGGCATGTCTCAATAGGTTGGGCGTTGTCCCCCAAAGTGAAAGGCCGCAGGATCAATTCCTGGTCAGGGCACATGCTTGGGTTGCCAGCACTGTCCCAGGTTGGGAGCATAGGACAGGCAACCAATCCATGTTTCTCTTACTTTCTTTTCTTCCCCCTCCTTTTCCCTCCCTCTAAAAATAAATCAATTTTTTTTTTTGTAAAAGAAATATGGTTTGGAATTCACTTAATGGGGCATTGCACCTTTAGTGTCATGATGTTAAGAGCAACCAAGTGTTTCCTGATTCAACAGTTGCTATAGCTTAGCCTTCTGTAAGAGGGATGGATTATACAACTTCCTCCTTCAATTCCTTCTAAAAGTCCAAGTAAATCTTCGTCTTTCCACATGTGGGCAAACAGGACCTGTGGTAGTTTTCTAAATGGTTTAAAGGGAAAAAAAAAAAGGTCATTACATGCAATAGAAAAATAAAATGATTTTTGAGAGAAATTGGGGGGAAAATTTAGACCCCATTTAGACCTTAAAACAGTGCCATGAAAGTCTCTGGAGCAAAAGGAATGTTTTATTCTGGCCTTGATAATCAAGTTAATTACATTCATTGTGGTCTCAAAGATGGCTAATTTAAATATTCTCTTTGTAGTATAGTACCCAGTAAAAAAAAAACACAAAACGTTCAAGTACAAAAGGTTATTGGGAGAAAATCAAGTTTCCCTCTAACCCTTTCCCCTCAGTCTCCCAGTTTTCCTTAGAGGTTTGTGTGATACTGTTACTTGTGTTTGTGTAGACTGGTTCATGCATAGAGTATCTCTGGAAAGATAATGTATACAAATGATACATTTTAAGGCTCTTGATCCTAACATGTTACTGTAAAAAAATGGTTGTATCGGTTTTTGGTGGCAGATACAGTGCTAGTAAGAAGATTTCATTTTCGTTTATATTTCTTTGAATATTCTTTCCTTAATGTTGGAATCCATTTATATTTCCTCTTATATATTGTCTCCTCATGTCTTTTGTCTTGCTGTTTGTTTTTACAGTATTGGAGTTGTCCTTATGATACTTATTTGGCAGGTTTTTGTGGATCGATGTTTTATGATAACCTGGACTTGAGGGAAAAAACTAAAATGCTTTTTGTAACCTTTACGGGAAGAGGTGTGTGAGCTGAATAAGGTCAAGGCAGTAAGGAAAAGGAAGTTAAATGCTTGAGGGGGAAATCTCAAGGATTTCAAACTGGGTGCAGTTGAAGATGACTTTAAGGCGAGTTAGAAAAGGATGGTGCCATTAAGAAAAATAAGGAGTAATGTGGAAACAATTAGATTTCTGGGAAAAGGAGAATTTGTTTTGGGCAGGCTAAGAGTCAGGAGGATCCAGGTTGAGCTATCCAGAGTGTGGCTAGGGTTTAAGGGACAGAAGAAGATAAGGAGTTAGGAATCATCTGATTTACTGAGAGTATAATTTGAAAGATTGGTGGTGGATAAGATTGCTGAAGGAGACATGAGAATAGGTCCATGGACAGGCTGTCTGCCAGTCATGTAAGAAGACAAAGTTGGGAGGTGTCACAGGGGCCATGGAGAGCCAGGATAGTAGATTGGAATGCCTGCCAAGGAGAACAGGGGATCTAGAGAATCAAAGGTTACAAACAGAGGATTAAAAGAAGCCCATTAGATTTGGTAAATTGGAAACAATATATCTTATGGGTAAAGATACAATTTATGGGATGTAAGAAGTTTTTAAAATTCCTAAACAGCTTTATTAATAGCTAATTTATTTATCATGTAATTTGCCCTCTTAAAGTGTATAATTCAGTGGTATTTACTACATTTAGAATTGTGCAAACATTGCTACAACCATTGCCACCATCAATTTTGGAACATTTTATTGCCCCCAAAGGAACCCCTGCTCCTGTTAGCAGTTACTCCCCAATTCCCCTCCATCCTTCCAGTCCTAGGCAACCACTGATCTAATTTCTGTCTGTCTATATCTGTCTGCCATAGACATTTCATGTAAATGAAAGTATGCAACACGTGGCCTTTTCGTGTCTGATTTCTGTCATTGTTTCAAGGTTCATTTATGCCATAGTATGTATCATACCCCACTCCTTTTTATAGCTAACTAATGTTCCTTTGTATGAATGTATCATATTTAATCATGACCAGTTTATAGACATTTGAGTTGTTTCCACTTTTTGACTCTTATGAATAATTCTGCTCTAAATGTCCATGTTCAAGT